TAAAAACTACATAAACTACATTACATGTAGTTAATGTAGTTTATGTAACCTATGTATGTAACTTTCAAATATCAAAGGTGTGAGGTGAGGTTATAATAAGTTGAAGCTTTAAAAAACACCATGTATTTAAGAAAATAGAAGAAATATGGCTTTAAATATAATATTCACACATCTTATTATTTAGACCTCTCATACAAAGCAAAATTATTCATAATATCAATACACAGTTTATTAATGTAGTTTTCATGTAGTTAATGAACGGGAAAAGACGTAGTTTTTGAAGAAAAACTACACGTAGTTAATCAGGTAAATTACGTATTAATTAACTACTTCCGAACCCTGGCTAGCACACAGAGGTCGTAGAAGGGAAATTTGACTGTTACAAAGTCAGCTGGTCGAAAAGTTGGCAGTTCGTTTTACGTTCAGAGGAGTTCAGTGATGGTCAATGTTTAAGTCGGCAGTTCGCGACCGTTCGGCACAGCCAATCAGTGGGCTAATTCTAACACGTGATATATTACGCCCGGATGACACTCAAAGTATGTTCTGTCCTTCTGTGGCGATAGGAAAGTTCACCTATGGCCATAGCGTCGGCGTTTTCATTTTGTTTCTGTGTTTCTGTCGTTGTCCTCGTGGTTAAATTTTGGTTAAATTTCTCTCTTATTTTTATTAGTAATTATATCTTTAGTAGAGATATAATTGTGCGAGATCGACGATGTAAGTGGGTTATTATTAGATATAATAACAAATTATGAACATTTATATAATCTCGAACACCGGGATTACAAAAATCTCTTAAAAAACAATAAAATTGGGTGGAAATCGCCCAAATGTTGAATATCGGTGGTAAGTTAATTAATTTTTACTTAATTTTAGTGTATAGTATTTACTAATAAAGTTATTTTTCAGTTGAAATATGCCCAAAGAGATGGAAGGCCTTAAGAGACCGGTATACAAAAGAGAGAAAGATTGCCTCTAAATCTGGATCCGAGGCACCGGCGCGGCGTCGAGGTGGACCTATTATGACAGAATGTCCTTTTACGCCAAATTTTCTAGTCAAAGAAAGTAATCATTTAGTTTATAAATACATACCTAGCTCTATTAGCATTTTATTTATTAATATTAAAGGTAATTTTTTAGAACTTACACGACAGCTTCAAAAATAACAAAAATAATTACCGATGCCACACGGGCCACGCCCTCACTGTGGAACACGAAATTGACAACATCAACAGATACTGGAGAAGAAACGTCTTCTTCCTCGATGCCTCGAACAATCATCGGTGATAGGAGTGGTTTGGAGGACAGGTGTCCTCAGTGTGTGATGAGGCAGGACCTAGCCTCATCACCACACCATTAAGGCAAGGATCCCAAGGTAGAAAAATTAAGTTTATAGAATACTATTAATATATGTAGTCTGTCCAACGAGATTCATGACAGTTGTGTCGGTCTTTTTAATTTCGGAACATTTTTAGATGTCGTCTATCAAAATATTCCCAGACTTGTTTGACACACTTTAATCACATTATTACTGGATAGCGACAATAGTTATTAAACAGATTACACGTTCATTTTTTGTTAAGTATTAAAGTCTAGGGTATACTGAATATAGTTATAGATTATATTAAGTTTATATTTATTTACAGACATTTTATTTACAAAATGTCAACTGCTGAGAAAGAAATGCTAGCAGTAGCAAATGAAATAGCGTCAAAAGTGGGACAGCCCAAGAAACCGGATCCAAACAGAGCGTTTATAGAATATTTATATTTGCTCCTGGAAGAAATGCCTACAGAGGTAGCCAGGGCAAAGAAAAGACAGTTTCTTAGAATGTTGGAGGAAGATGAGGAGAATACAAATTCCTAAAATTGTTTATATTTTTATTATATTATAATTATTATAAAATATGTACATGTTTTTTTTAATTCTAAGGAAACTACTTCCTTTATTTTATTGTTATTTGAGTTTTAAAAAGCATAGTTTCTTAATAAGTAATCATTAATATTTGTTGACAATAATTTAAAACATGGTGTTGAAATATAAAAAAAATCATGGTTACACAGAAATAGAAAAGATAATATTCTTCCCCAAAAGCCAAGTAAAGTTATTTTAAAATATTTTATCTTTAATTTTTATTTTATTTTTTTTTGTTTTGTTTCTTTGACCTGGTATACTATATATTTTTTTTCTTTTTATTCTTGGCTTTAGGTCGTTGGAGTTGCAAAGATGTTGCTAGATTTTATTCATTATTTTATTTTTATGACGACGTTTCGTTTTTTCAGTATATGTCTTTTTCAAGTCTCTTAAACGTAGATTCCGACAGAGTTAAAAATTGTTAAAACTGGACAAAACATAACACATATTAAAACGATTATTTTAATTATTGTTTATGGTCATCACGCTTTAGTATAGAGCACGTATGTATTTTCTAGCAGAACGTCTGAAAGAAAGCCAAAAATGTAATAATATACAGGGCTTTCCATTTAAAAAAATCATCCCGATCCACTCACACTTTTTTAAGCCACCCTGTAGAAGTTAAAATATTTTCCTGAAATACATCCTAGTACAACTTAACAAGTATAGCTAGAGACGTGAGAAATATAAAATAACACGCGACCGGTGCTATCCCCAAGTCTCTTCCTGTATTTGTACAACTGTACATACTTTAGGTCTGCACTGAGGCAAAATTCCCAAGTTTTTTATTCTAGGAGCTACAGATGCCTGACGCACTATTGCCGGACCCTGTATAATATGTACTTTAAATTTGTAGACTCAAGAATGTTTATCAGGACCGCATGGTGTCCCAAAATGCTGATAAAATTCCGGGTCGAAAGGGCAAAAAATGTTGCCGAACATGACTGATCAAACAAACGGACGCGGTCCTTTTTTTAAATTGTTTATTTTTCATGTTAAAATATGCTGAAATGGATGGCACAGTATATGCATTCCTCTTAATAAGTGATGTGATTGTGATTTTTTAATTTCTTCATATTTTCCAGATAATAATGGTATAGTAGTTATAAATACAGTATATTTGTAAAATACGGGATAATTTAATTGTGGTTAGTAATTATTTGAAACAAATAGCATGGATGTGTTATATACAGGGTGGTGACAATTTTGATGCTCAACATTAGTATTTCGGAAACTACAGGAGATACGAATTCGGTTAAATGGAAAAAAATTGCGAAATTAGAAGTTTGACAAACACCTATGAAAATCCCGGTATCTTGATTAATTTCGGATTTATCTAAAAAAACATGAAAATAATACCTTTATATTAAATGATAATATCTTCAGAACTGTTGTATCTATTGCAACGTAAGTTGGTGGTTTTATATTTTTGACCTGGGCCAATTAAATGCCCTTTTCAGAAAATTTCTAAGCCTTCTAGATTTCGCACAACAACAGTAAAGTTTTTGTTTCCTTATGGCCGCCATTTTGATTTTTTATACTATTAGATAGAGTGAAAGAAAGTCTATACGGTGGTATCTAATTTTTATTCATTATTATGTAAATTTACTAAAAAAAATATTTTTTAAAAATTCGCCTAAGAGATCAAGTCTGCCTTGGAAATCCAATTGACACTTTACATTACAGCAAGTTATTTTTTGTTTACTCTATTGTCAAATCTGGATACACAAAAATGTGTGTCATGTATTCATGTGTGTAAATGACAAAATATATCTACGTTCAATGTTGTTCCTTGAAAAAGATCAAAATGTGACCGAAACGTTGGAAAACTATTAAAGATTATGTATAATTCTAATTGAATTGTATTATTAAAAGTAGACCAAATACCAAGAAAAAGTTAACGATAGTTTATTAGAGACCTTAAATATATAACTTATTTATATTTACTCCCATTTGAATTTTAATCATGAATCATTTTAGGAAAATGAACAAACTCTAGAACTTAAATCAAACTTGTTATTGTTTAATAAAATTTTAGGTAATAGAAAAATCAATTCTTAGGAAAATTATAGTACTGAGCCTATTGTAATTACACATATATCCATAAAATTTAGGAGATTTAATGTAGTTAACCAAACTGGTTTATTAAATTATATTTTCATAACTTATTTGGCTCTGATTCTCACATTGTTCTAATTATGAAATTAATTTAGAAAAACAAACATAAGAGAAGATTATAATGACGAGGTTAAAATTTGAGCATAATACATTATCTGTTCTACATACATTCGACACTTTGCAATGTTATTTTTACTTGATTATTGATAAATTCTATATAAAGTTGAATTTATATATCTTGTTTTGTAATTTACATTTTGATAATAATTAATTCTATACTTCACAGCAGAGTGTTCAATCAGTGATCACACCATAGACAAAAAATATTATGTGTTTATTAGATATTTTTCACAATCTATTTGGTTTCGGGTTCAATACTATGTTAACCAGTCATAAATGAATTTAGAGGGCAAATTATTACTGACAAATTATTACTGACATACAGTATAATTTGGGCTTGTTATATGGCAAAATACAACACTAAAGATTGTTATATGCTTTACATTTATGTCATCTTTTACTTGGGTGCATCTTAAAAGTGGCTCAACATAAGCCTGGTAAAAAAAACACCTAATATAGAGCTTTTCGGAAGCCTGTGTCACCCTGTATTATCTTTTATCATAGAAGACGATAAAATTGGTCATTTATAGCAGTTTCTGTAAAATTTTACTGGCGATTTGTTCATAATTTTAGCTGTAAAAAAATTGTTAATGTTATAACCAGTAACCCACAACAATAAGTTTGAAACTTGGTTTAACCTATCACTCTTAAAGTTTTACGTGGGTATAAGATTTACATGATATAAATGTACGAACTAATGCGTTTATAGTAATACGTAGGTGCACCTAGGTGTCATAATGGCCTATTATTAAGCCTAAAATCAAATCCGGCGTTGCGATTGGATAAGAGGCGGTCCTCTGCATCGCGACGCTCGTCGTTATAAAGTCCTAGACGCCGTCGTTCATGGTCTGTACTGTGCGATTCTTCACTGCATTACGACCCTCCAGTGCCAACAGGTGTACACCAGCTTCAGCGGCCGGCGCTTCCAAAAGAGCGGTAAGTTTATTTCAAAGTTTTTGGCGACTTTCCGCGTTTTGAGAACATATTACGCTTTTTTACGAGTTTAAACGATTTTGATGAGGATAAAAATTATAATTTTCTCTCATGAAAATAAAGGTATTTATACTTACTATTATTTCTATTGCGCATTAAAATTTCAGCGGTCCAACAACTTTTTTTAAATATTTTTTTTTAGTTTGGACTAACTTTCAATATTTTTGTAACTATAGATAATTATTACAATTAATAATTAGTACAACTATAGATAAAAAGACAAAATAGTTTTGCATTATTACATTTATATAGAATATTATACAGTGTTTTTCGTTTATTATATGGCTTTTAGGATATAATTTGAATTATTTATTGTTTGTTGATAATTCTTGGATTTTAAATTGCAAACACCAAGTCATTATTAATTCTCATACTTATATCTCACTGTTTTTGAAATAACCGGACTTTTAAGCGAAAAATACATTTGCAGAGCAGAAATAAATTGAATATTATATTTATGCTTTTCTTTTAGATAAGGTTTTGATTCAAAAATTACTTATTTTTTGTGGTCAATTATATTATTTACACGGTGCTCACAAAAATTATGATAAATCTTACTTGAAAAATTACAAAAGTCTACTATTTCAAACTTAAACAACTATATTTTATTTATTTATTTTATTAAGCATCATAAAATAAAAGAACCTTTGTATAAAGATCTCCATAATTAAAACTATTGGAAATATTTGATTGGAATTATTTATTTTTTATAAGCATCTAAGTAATTTAAAATTAAGTACAGTAAAACATTCTCTAAAAGTCAAGCAACAAAAAATTGTAAAAAATGTTTCAAAGCCGAAAAATTTACTTTTGTTCTGTAAATGTAATTTTTGATATAAAAGAGAAAATATTTGAAAAAATGGTAAACTTTGGGTACTGATACCTTTGGGTACAATTTATACCCAAAAATTTGTTTGGAATTTAATTCGGAATCCAAAAAGTATGAAATATTTTGGTCGGTCTATTAAAAAATGTAAACTGTTGTGGGCAAATTGTTTTAATTCTATTTAAAAAAATCAGATTTTTATAACTTTAATATCGATTTTTTAATAATCCGGTAGAAAATCTATTTTTATAATACTATACAGGGTGTCCCAGAAATAAGTGCAAGTATTTTAAGGGGTGGTAGATCTCGATAAAAGAAACATATTTTCACTTTATCGTTTTTCAAATAAGTCCAAAATAACGGAGTTATTTTACTTTGACAATTTCCAAAATAAAATATTTTTTGCTAAAATTTTGAGAACCACTGGATCTTTTCGGGATTTTCTTTCTTGTAAATTTAATCTACTACCTATGTTGCCATATTATCAAGAAATTATGTTTTTAATTAAAAACTAAAAGAAATTCCCAAATTTTTTTCAAAAAATTCCGTATTTTCAATTTTTTTTTTCGCAAAAAAAACCTTATAGAAGTGTTTCTGGGATTGAACTATACTCCCAGTTAAAATACTTGCACTTATTTCTGGGACACACTGTATAAAGTTTAGCATTATTAAATTAATAACTATGAACTAAATCATAGAGTAATGCGATTAATAAAATGATGAACAACTTTAGTGTTTTTTCCTATTCAAAAATTTTATTAATTTTATAATCTTTATAAGATATCAAGTTGAATATGATAATTGCATATTCATACTTTGAAAGCTCAAAATGGTAGCGTATTTTTAAATATCGTGGAATTTCTATGACGGCTTTTTTTCCTGTCTATTTTTTTTGTGAATTTACTTAAACTTTTCATTATCTTACGCAGAAATTACAGAAAAGCTAGTTTTAACCTCAAAGTTTTAATCTAGCCTAAATTTTAGGTATATTTAACTTTAGTAAGTTGATATACTTAGTCATAATTCATAATGTACTTTAAATGATTTTCGTATTTAATTCATTTGACCACTGTACAGGGTGGGTCAAATTAGACGCTTTTAAAGGGAAACACCCTGGACCTGGAGCTCAATTTTTATCAAAAACATGATGGTGAAAACCGCACAGTGATATCTCTTACCGTTATGGTGTTTTTCAAACTTTTTTGCTATGGAAAATTTTGTATTTTTATAAAAACATTCCCAAAGCACCTTTTTACGTACAATGTAATGGTTTAAGTATAACTTTTTTAAAATTAAGAATTTAAGACTTATTAACAGAAAAATTGATTTTTTATTTGGGACTCCCTGTATATTTTTAATTAACTGAAAAGAACATAAAATTACCTGTCCAAGAAAAATAGCACACTTGATATTTTGTTATAGTCCCCTTTGAAATACAGAATTTTTAAAAGTTCGGCACTTTTAACTAGTAGGCTTTGGACCCCTTATTGATCCCTTATCTGCCCCTAATGGAACTCGAAAACGTATTTTTCAAGCAAGACGTGGCACTGCCTCAGAACTCTGAAGTTTTCAGCAAATTTTTGTAGTCAATTTCAAGAATAATTGAATAGCAAACCAAGATCTCAGCCATTGGCTGTCCAGGCCGCCGGACTTAGTGCCGATTTTTATCTATGCGAAAGAATAAAGGTTCTTATTTTTAAATTGCCTGTATAATCTAGACATGAGTTAGAAATACTTAGCGGTTATGCGAGGGTATCTTGCACTCCTACTAAGTTAATGAATTCCGCAAGAAATGTTCAAAAACGGTCCCGTCTGTCCATAACAGAAGATGGTCGATATGTCGAACACCTGTAGCAAAATCTCATGTCTTGGTTTACTATTTATTTTTATTGTTATTAGATATAGTTTAAATATGTTGATGTTTTTAAATATAGTTTAAATTGTTATAAAATTCTGCATCTCTCATTGCAAATATTATTTTCGTTTTAATTGTTGCTCACAGCTAGAATTTTTTTGTACTATTTATACAGCTCGCGCCGTTCAAAATGGGCGAATTTTTATAAACTCAATATCTCGAAGAGGAATCGAGCAAAATATCAAGTGTGCTATATTTTTGGAAAGGTAATTTTAAATTATTTTCAATTAATTAAAAATATAGAGGGTGTTCCATATAAAAAATTAAATTTTCTGTTGATAATCCTTAAATTATTAATTTTAGAAAAATTATACATAAACCATTAAATTCTACATAAAAAGATGCTTTGGAAATGTTTTTATAAAAATACAAAATTTTTCATAGAAAAATAGTTACAGCGATTTGTTAAAAATACAAGTTTTTGAAAAACACCCGAAAGGGTAACAGATATCGATGTACGGTTTTCACCGTGATGCTTTTGAAAAAAAATTGAGCTCCAGACACCGATATTAGTTTTCGTCTATCTCCTATAGAAAAGGATGTTTCCCTTTAAAAGCGTCCACATTGACCCACCCTGTACATACTCGATCACAAACAAAGTCTTATTAAAAATGTTTTTTAAAACTTATTTTTTCCATTTTTAAAATTTATATACTTTTCAGCATATATACATTTAAAAATCTTCTAATCTTAAGAATCACATCTGATTGATGATCTCTGAACATCACTAGAATAAATATTTAAAAATCCCTAAGTTGAGAATATAGAGAAACATATTTCTCTATGTTTTTTATTGAAGTTTAAGATATCGTCGGAAGTTAAAAAGAAAGTAAACTAGTTGGATATAAATGGATACACTATTTATATAGGTATTGATACATATATCTGCATAACAACATATATCTGTTATTATACTTATATATGTATAAGTTTAATAAGTTATAATAACATAAATATAGTTTTTGATAATCCGCGTTTCACCTGCCGCGCCTGTTCTAAATATACCAGCTGTCAAAGCACCAATTGAGCATAACCACCACCGCACAATTTGATAACTCCACTTTTGAAAAGTCTCAAGTGAGTAGGTGCAAGTCGAATGTAGAATGTTTAGAAGGGGAGTTAATCACCGCGACCTTATAGATCTATTGTGTGTTCCCCTTTCTTGAGTTATAACGAGTTATAACTCATCATACAGTCTCAGGGCTTTAAGAAAAGCCAGTATCTGAGACGGCTCCACAGAGGCCAGCTCTCCATCCTCGACATCAGACGTGCCAAGGTTCATGGCACGAATGGTCGTCGTCTCGGCGCACTCAGTGATAAGGTGTTCTGGTGTTTCCCCATTTTCCCCACAAAATCTGCATTCGCCGTTGTTTCTCAGTTTCAGCCTACTGAGGTGTTCGTTGAGGAGACAGTGTCGTGTTAGAAACCCCGTGACAATCCGAAGATTGTTTTTACTTAAATCAAGGAAAACCTTTGATTTTTCTCGGTCATAAGTTCTAAGGAACTTTTTCGAGTGTCTTAGACCATTGGAGGACACCCATTCCAAGTTACGGATGGAGTCTTCCAGATTCTTCAGTTCCGCTTTCAGTTGGTTCCCGTTTGGAAAACAGAACGGTTCTGGTCCAGTTAGTGGAGTGTTCGCTCCTTTCCTAGCTAGATCATTTGCTTTTTCATTGCCTTCTATCCCTTGGTGAGCAGGCACCCAGAGTAGGAGGACTTTATTTTCTTTGCCTAATTTGTTGAGCTTCTCTAGGCATTCTTTGACCAACTTCGAATTGATGGTTACTGAGTTGATCGCGTTAAGTGCTGCTTGACTATCGGATAGGATGGCAATTTCCTGTTTTCGATAGTGCCTATCCAAGATAAATTGTACGCATCTTTCGATAGCGCAAATTTCTGCCTGAAGGATACTGGGGTAGGTGCCCATTGGTTCGGAGTATTCAGTTTTCGGCCCAAATACTCCTATCCCTGTCCCTGCTTTGGTTTTGGAAGCATCGTGATGGTATGGTCTTTTATATGCTGAGTAAGCGTTTCTTTCTTCCAATCCTTTTTATTACTCAATACTACAGTGAGGTGTTTCTCAAAGTTGTAAATTCTTGGTATGTCATCCACTGGGAGTTGAAGAAGTGGAATTTTCTTTTTGAGGGTGTTCCAAGCCCCTGACCTGAAAATTCTCCCAGTACTGTTCCCGTCAATGACCAT